CAGGAGCAGCAGCAGCAGTCCCCTTCCCTGTGTCTCCGTATGTCTCCAGCTTCTGCTGCTGCTGCTGCTCGTCGGGTGCAGCAGCAGCAGCAGCAGCAGCAGAACAGGAAGCACCAGCAGCAGCAGCAGCAGCAGCAGTGCAAGGCGGCAGCAGCAAACGAGCGATTGGCTGCATCGGATGCATTGGGTGACGGCGCCTGCAGCAGCAGCAGCAGCAGTAGCAGCAGCAGCAGCAACAGCAGCAGCAGCAGCAGCAGCAACAGCAGCAACAGCAGCAGCAGCAGGACAAAACACACGAACTGCAGCTGAGTACAACAGCAGCAGCAGTCTGTTGTTGCTGCAGCTGCAGCAACAACAGAAGATAAACAACTCAGAAGCAGCAGCAAGAACAGCAACAGCAGCAGCAGCAGCAGCAGCAGCAACAGCAGCAGCAACAACAACATCAGCAGCAAGAGCAGCAGACCCAACAGCAACAACATGAACGCCAGCAGCAGCAGCAACAGCAGCAAAAGCAGCAGCAGCAGCAGCAGCAGCAGCAGCAGCAGCAAATTACCTCAGCAGCAGTACTACTCCCTCGCTGCTGCCAACAGCAACGAGGCTATCAACAGCAGCAACACATGTTGCTGCAGCAGCACCACCTTCATTTCTGCTGCTGCTGCTGCTGCTGCTGCTCTTTTGTTGCTGTTCATCCTCACCAACACTAGCAGCAGCAGCAGCAGCAGGAGCTGCTGCTGCTGCTGCTGCTGCTGCTGCTGCTGCGTTGTCTACACTCGGAGACCTGCTGCTGCTGCGCTGCAGCAAATACAGCGGAAATGTCTCACAAAATTCAAAGTGAGCAACACCACGCAACATGCTGCTGCTGCTGCTGCTGCAGCTGCTGCTGCTGCTGCTGCTAGAGCAGCAGACAGCAGATTGCCGCTGCTTCTCCTGCTGCTGCTGTTGCTGTTACTGCGGTTGCTGCTGCTGCTGCGTTACTGCTGCTGCTGCTGCTGCTGCCAAAAGAAGCTGCTGCAGCTGCCGCTGCAGTCAACAGGCTGCTGCTGCTGCTGCTGCTGTTGTTGCTGCTGCTGCTGCTGCTGCTAGGGGCAACATGCTGCTGCCACCGTTGCTGCTGCTGCAGCCGGAGATGTCCTTGCAGTATAAATAATGTAGCTCGTGCTGCTGCTGCTGCAGTTGCTGCTGCTGCTGTTATTGCTGTTGCTGTTGCTGCTCCTGCTGCTGTTGCTGCTGCTGCTGAGTCTCTTGCTTCATGCTCGACCACTCATGCTGCAGCAGTTGCTGCTGCAGCAGTTGCTGCTGCTGCTGTTGCTGTTGCTGCTGTTGCTGCTGCTGCTGTTGCTTCTGTTGCAGTTGCTGCTGCTGCAGTTGCTGCTGCTGTCCTAAAGGGAGGCTTTGGCTCGTTCTGAGGCAGCAGCGAGCCGCTGCTGCTGCTGCTGCTGCTGCTGCTGCAGTAGCTGCTGCTGCAGTTGCTGCTGCTGCTATAGTTGCTGTTAATGCTATCACAAAATTAATAAGTTTCAGAGTGCAAGCAGCGGGATTCCTGCTGTTGCTGCTGCTGCTGTCTGCTGCTGTCTGCTGCTGCTGCTGCTGCTGCTGCTGCTCGTTGCTGCTGCTGCTGCTGCTGCTGCTCTCTCTATGCACAAATCGAAGCAAAGGCTGAAACACAGAAATATAAAACAGCAAATTTCAGTGAAATGCTGAGCTGTTCTTCGTTGCTGCTACAATAGAGCAGCAGCAGCAGCAGCAGCAGCAGCTGCTGCTGCTGCTGCTGCTGCTGCTGCAGCAAGACCGCCGCCGCCGACCCGAGGGGGCCCCCCAGGGGCCCCCCAAGGGGCCCCCATATTACCT